AATTTGTTTGTCGAGGTGAGCCTCACACCCGAAGTAATCGCTATCGGTATACCATGACAACCCGAGGACCTTGGTATCAGCGCCCCCATCGCCGGCAAAAGTTGTCGATTTACTCACCCGGAACTCGTCCGGAACAGCCTGTAAGACGTCGGCGGTATTGCTGGATCATTTTCGCAACTCGAAACCCGCACCAGCGAGGACAGATATTAATTCCGACTGAATGGTAAGTGCGTCAACCGCGCTATCGGCGCCGTAACAAATGTTGTCGACATACGTTTGATGGCGCAGCGCGTCGCACGAGCTGGTGGAACCTCGGCAATCGACATCAGCGACCTCTTGTAATACGCGTAGAGCGAGAAACGGCGCACAATTTACGCCATACGTCACAGTATTCAACTCGTATTCGACGAGCTCCATGTGCGGGGACGATCGCAATAGAATGTGCTGATACGCACGATATTGCGGAAGGACATGAGTATCCTCAGTTTGGTGACTTGCGGCTACAACTATGGACCGTGTATAAGCGCTGTGCGCTTGTTACGAGCCATAGAGGTTCACCCGTGCGGGGGCGCCGAAGCGCCCACGCCGCGAGCGTGTCGTCTATGGACCCGTAGCACCGTACCAGACGGCACAGGTCTGGAGCCACCATGTACCACCTCTGGTGAGGCCGTGACCTATCCCATCACTACCTGTTTATGGTTACAGGCAACCTCCGCCAATTGTATCCAACGGTAGACCGGCTGAGTATCCAGGAGAAACTGCAACGCCAAAGGAATTCGCACCCCCTTGTCGGTACAGCCATTCACTGAAGACCTTCACCTGCCAGCTTTGGCTAGAACCATACAGTAGCTCCCGCTACAACCACCACGAAACCAAACCGGCACTGGGCGCCCGACGGCGAACCGGCACGCGCCCAGAGTAGGAGGGCACTGGCCCGGGCATAACTCGGGACAGTGGGGCTCCCCCCTTCCCGTGGTACCGATCTCTCCCCCGTTAGGAAGGACATCATCGGTTGGATGTTCGACTGGGCAAGCCCATTCTCCCAGGATTTGCTGGCTCAGCAGGCTCTTGGTGGGCCTTTACCCCGGGCGCTCGCCCGTGGTGCGTAGGTCGCAACCCCACCCCTTTAGTCGTCTCGTACGACAAGCGGGGTAGACTGTGTCTGTATTCTTCCATGGCCCCAGACACAGGGCCCGATGTAGGTGTGACCTACTCGCCGGAGCTTTCGGTCACCGCGGCGCCTCCGGTTGTCCGCGAACCACTGTTGTCCGCGTCAGCGCCGCCCGCGTCCCCGACGCACGAGTGTCCCCTCAGGACGGCCCCGCATGTGAACCGCTTCTGCCTTCTCACTCCTTGACACTCGTTCAGAACACTTGCGGGGTTTGGCACTCTGGCACGCAGAGTGTCTTGCCCATTCTGCTACGTATCACGGTCGTTCCATGTACGCCCCTATCTTGGAAAACCTGACGAACGCTGAATACAGCTTAGCTGTCGAGATCAGAATGCTAGGCTCGCACGGCCAGAGGTGTCCTGCTCTATAGACCGCGAGTTCTAGGAATGCCCTGTGTTCCGCGTGGAGAGAGCTGAGACAGCTGAACAGCACATGGTCCGCGTACTCATCACCCATTCCGCAAGCACATGTGGGATCCGGTTGCAGATTAAAACCCGCTAGCTTCGCCCGGAAGTTTCCGTGTCCGGACATGAATTGGACGACCTCGTGTCCCAAGGCCAGGGGTAACCTTAACCTATGTCGTACATTGGGGAAAAATTTGAAGGTCCATCTACCTTTTAGTGAGCTTTCCCATCTATTTTGCCATTCATCGAGCAGGCTTTCCCTCTTTGTGTCCCATGTTTCTCGTCTCAACTGGGCGGGGAGCAAAGCAATCTCAGCCTTATAAACCAACCACTTGATCTCAATATCTAGGGGTGGAACTCCCGCTAGCACTTGTAGGGCGTCAGTTGAGGTGGTGTTGTACGCACTCGTCATGCCCAGCAGGGCTCTTCTTTGGATGGTACCGAACTTCTTTATTGCCTGTAGGGAATTTATCTTATGGGCCAAAAATTGGGCGCCGTACGCAATCTTTGGCAGAAAGACACCCCGATATAAAATCATGATGTTTTGCCTTTTGATCCCCCAGCCAGCTCCGATAGTGCCTCTCAGTCTTGAAAACAATGTTTCGGACGAGTTTTTGAGGTGGTCTATATGCGGCGAAAATGTCATTTTTTGGTCAAGTCTCACACCCAGGTATCTTACGTTATCCACCGACGCTATTCTTTCCTCCCCAAAGGCTAGGGTGAAGCCTGGAACGAGGGCGCCTTTTGTAATCATCGCTTCTGACTTTTGGGCGGAAAAGGTGAGACCTCTGCCCCGAGCCCAATCACGGACTGGTAATAGTGCGGCCTCTGCCCGGTCGATGAGGGTACGCCTGTTCGGTCCGGCTACCGAAATCGCAATGTCGTCTGCGTAAGCCTGGACATTCACATACTCCTGGAACTCAGTGCGGAGTAGGGCTTCTACCGTCACGTTCCAGAGCACGGGTCCCAAAATCGAACCTTGGGGGCACCCCTTGGTAACCCTGACTGTTTTTGTAACACCACCTATTGTCATGGTGGCCGTTCGGCCTCTGAGGTAATCGTCAATGAGGTACCTCATGTGCTGGCTGGCTCCCAGACTGCTCAGATCACGCGCAGTGCCGGCCACGTAAGGTTATCAAAGGCACCGGATATGTCCAAAAAGATCGTGATAACGTATTGCTCCGTTCGGAGACTGCTCCACGTAAGCAGTTTTTGGATCGCGTCCAAAGTCGATCGCCCTTCGGTGAAACCAAACTGTTTCCCAGACAGGTTGGGGCTTATCTGAATTTTCAGCCGGTTGTTAATGACCTTTTCTATAATCTTCCCCAAGACCGGCAGCAGACTCACTGGCCTGTAAGAATTTGGGAGCGCGGCGTCTCTGTCCTGCCCTTTTAATATTGGGATCACCTGGGCTGCCTTCCAGCAATTGGGGAACAGTGCTGACCTCAGGCACTCATTTACAATCTTCGTAAGTCTTGGGGCAATCGCCGTCCAGAGGACACGAACCATTTTGGCCGTGAATGCGTTTGCGTCTAGCGCTATGAGGACCTCAGGTGCAGCCGACTGGTGGAGGGTATCCAGCGCATCAACGTGAATGGCAGTGGGAACTCTGTACTTAAAGTACCCACTGATAAGTGTCATTGTCCCTTCCTCAGCACAGTCAAGGTCGATGGAAACGAAATTCTCCATGGTACCAACAGACCTGGCGACCACGACCAGATCAGCATTGAAGACTATGACGATGGATGGTCATGGTCCATGACTATGGACCCCCTTCTTCGTGTTCCCTTCGAGAGGTACGTTCTCATCGGGGCTGCTTCAAAACCCGTGAGTTTACCGCGGTTGGTATATGGTTCTTGCACCATCGCGATGTCGACACTCATATCCTGACAGTAAGCTAAGAGCTGGTCATTAACTGCCGCCGCTCTCCCCATGTTTAACTGAACAATCTTTATGGACTGGGTACTCATTTCGAGATCCCGTAATCAGTCCTCCTGACCTGACTTAGAAGGTAAGCAGTTCTCGCTGAGTAGCTCTTGTCTCTGGCACTGTGCTAACCCCTGCAATTTACACACTTTGGGTCACCCTCCAGTGCTGGGCACTCAGGCGACTTGTGTCCCTTTCGGCTGCAATGTGCGCAGACGCACTCCTTTTCTAGGCATTTGGCCGCTGGGTGTCCGTGTCTGAGGCATATATGACACTGAGTCACCTCCTCATAAGCATTCGTTCTGCACCTCATGAATCCAAGATAGAGCGTTGTGCTCTCAAACTTACAATAGTACTTGGGGTTTACCTCCACAACCCAGTTCGTGGTGCTCTTTCCCCGTGGGCCGGTTTGGAAGACCGGCTTTAAAACCTCCTCGTCCACATCTGCCTCTATTCCCAGCTCTGGATTTTGTGCCAACAGGTCCTTCTGGGACCCGACCATGGCGGTGTAAGTGCCTATACCACGGATTATGATACGGGGCCACCGTAATCTATCCACCTGTAACAGGGTAGGTACCCTTGCAATATGTTTCAGTGCATCAGTCGTCTCCTTGTCCATTGGTTTCAATATAACCTTCCCTGTCTTTGTTGTTACCGTCTGGCATCTGGGTCTAACTTTCTTTGCCACCACCTGGTTCCATACTATATCCCGAACCTCGGTCGATGTCTTGCCCTCTGGCTCCTGCAGTACAAATTATAAATTAATATAATATAACATAATTATAAATATATTAGCTGAAATAATTTAATACTAGGTATGAACAATATTTAATTTTTGATTTTTGTAATTTCAAATCAAATTTCAGTATAATATAAATAATTTGTCATAAGTCAGTTCAATAGTTGTAATAGTTTTCTTAAGTAATATAGGTCTTATTGGCCAATCGGCAATCACATGAATTTAATCAATATTTAAATAAAATTAATGTATGTATAAATATATAAAGCACTGATGAACCCGTTCATCAATTTTTATGAGCTTTTAAAATTCAAATTTTTACAACATTGGATATTCACTCGATTTCTCATGTAGTATTTCTATGAATATCAATAAAGTTTTATCTGTTGGGCCAATAAGTGTAAAAATTTAATACAAGGCTCCTGATATATTGTTACAATAGCAATTGAAAAATAATAAAAATACTTAGGCAAAATTTCTTTATATAAGCATTTAAAGATCGAATTTTGACAAAATTTATCAAAATTGTAAATCATTGTAATTAATAAATTATAAAATGTTCAGTTTTTATAGCTAAGGATTACAAATTTAAAACAAAGGATGGCGTGACTCCAGTGACACACTAGGCTGGTTGCGCAATACGCAACGAAACGTTCATGGAGTGCCGGTCGCCCTCGTTCGACCCACCCCGATCGTTGACCCCGGCGCCCCTACCACGTTATTGAACTTTGGTTTCCACTTGCGGTTTGCAGAACAAACGATGGACTTGTCCCCACAGCCCGACTTTCCTGGTTACCGGTTGAACGCCGATCTTGCTTCCACGGATTTTGAGACCGACGGCCGCCACCTGTACCGGGGCTACCGGCCGTCCATCGACCTGGCCATCCGACCGCGTAATGTCAAGGGCACTACTTGCACCGTCATCAAAACGCAGCGACGACGGATCATGTGCGTGCGACCACCGTCGTCCCCCGCTGACGGAGACGTGCGTGAAATCTACGTCGGCCCCAAATTAGGGCGTAGTGTCAAGAAGAACAACAACACTAACCAGTGTTTCGTTGGGCGTGTTCGAAGTGCTCCTGCTGATCGTCGGTATCCTCACCAGCGTGCCCTTCATGTCGTTGCTGGCCGCTGTGGTTTACGTGGTGCGGAACAACAAATGTGATATCCACCGATACCTGTAATCTGCATCAGCGCAATATTATAATCAAACGCTTGGTGGAGCAATTCAGAGCGAATAATGCAAAAACTTATTTAAATTTTTTTTTTGTTTTAGTTTACACTGAATACATTGATAATATAATTTAATAATGTATAACTTAACTATTTTAATAAAGTCAGTAAACCGATCACTCAGATCCATAAAGGTTATAGATTATGACGTAATTAATCGATATGCATCAGCAATATGCTGATGAAAAGGCATATCATCGAGGTACAGGAGGAGAACCGCACAAATTATTTAACAGCCAATCAATAAATTCAACAGTCAGAGAAATTTACAGACAAGGATGACAGGAGAAGAATCCTATATGATTCAGATAGAGTTTTGGCAACTGATTATAGCCTCCAATCTATTAATGAAGACATGCTCGGAGAAAATATAATAGTGTTAAATCCTGGTGATATTGATACAACTGGTAAATTAATAATAAATATATAATTATTATTATTTTACATTTTATCTATTAAATAATGTGATGTAAATCAGACTATTCCACCTACATCACCATGTACCAAAATGGACTGAACAAATTATACGCCTGCTGATCTAAAATCGCGATCAACCTTAACTGCTAGTAGTGGTATGTACTGTATTTATTTATATATTCCATAATGTTAGAGGTGGGAAAGTTACTTTATTTATTGTAACTGGTAACAAGTTACAAGTTACTCTAAAACTGTGTAACCAGTTGAAAGATTTTTTTTTATAGATATTTTTATGTTGTGTAACTTAATACAAGTTATATATTATTTTCCTATAACTTTATATTAAAATTACTGTATGATTACCATATTATTATAAAAATTTAAATTAAAAAAAACATTTTGGTGCTGTAATCACAGATATATAAACATAATATTAGGTATATTTATATATGTTACCGGAATAGATGAAAATTCAGGAATTGTCGGTATATCCTAGTCATTGTTGACAATGGCTGGAAAGGTTAGGCAATGTTGGATGTTTCGTAGTTTTATCAACATTTCCGTATTATATTAGACAATGTTTTAAATCCGAATCGAAAAAAATATCGACACCGCGCTTTATGCGGTGATCGATCTGATTATGAAACATAGCTATCTATAATTATATATTATCTATTATTTATTAGTTATTATAGTATATAATATGGTAAATCCTGTTTTATGTTATCGTTTTTATTGCTTATAACTATTATAATAAAATTGATTATACAGAACTATCGTACCTAGCTGGTATCGTTATGGTCACATCCCGAAAGTGACTGTACACTGTACAGCATTGTTTGTGCATAGTGCATTGAAGTAGTAAATAGTAACGTGTAATAACTAATAACATTGTTTTTTTTTTTCAACCTTTTTTTTCTCCTTAAAAATGGATTTAAAAGAAATGCGCATAAAATTTGATAACGCAATTCTATTATTAATTGAATCCAAACGTAACGACAGCAACTTTTTTTTTAATAATGAAGAATATTGTGAACGAATCGAAGAAATAAAAAAAATCTAAAATTACACTATCTACGGATGGAGTAAAAAAGTGTATGAAAAACTATAGGAATGTTCGTAAGTACGATATTCTTATTATGAACGGTAAAGATCGTCTTATTAAAACTATAACCAATGCGTCAGAGTGTGTGCGTTAGTATGTAAAAAATGACAGTGTAAGACCAATAGATGTGCTTGTCGTGCATCTACTAGATTATGTAATTCTAAGTGTCATAGCAGTTTACCGTGTAACAATAAAGATTAAGCTTATGATTTATAATAAATAGCTAAAAAGTATTATAATTTATAATATATTATTCGATTTTCAACTTAATTTTTAATGTTATCATCAATGCCTTCTTTCATTAGGAATTGTCATAAATTACTAGTTATTGACGTTAATTCCTTACTAAATCAGGCCTTATCGTTATGGACTAGTCATTGTCAACACTGACTGAATGTCATCTTTTCCGGTAACATATATATTTGGCCGTAATCTATTGTATTAATAATTATGTCAAAATAAAAACAACTATTCGTACAGTTTAATAAAAATATCTATTCTTCTACCCCATTTGAAAGGTTATTTTCATTTGCTGGGTTCATTAATTGTCCTACTAGAAAAAATTTATATGACAACAATTTAGAAAAAAATAATTTTTCTAAAAAGAAAGTAAATCATATAAATTTTAGGAAAAAATAATTTATACAATTTTTTTTTATTTAATTTTAAATTAAATTTCATGTTTTTAAATTGCATTACCTATCATATTATACAAATACCATTGACTTAGTTAGTAATTTAATTACTATAAATATTAGTTATTACTACATATAACTAATTTACTATAACTATGTTGCATCCACTTATTTCATAAGAAGACTACCTACTAATTGTATGACTGTTAAACAATTGACAAATGTTTTAAAGACTTATATAAACATATGTTTTATTATGATTTATTATATAAATATATGTTGTCTTATACTTAATACATTGAACTTTTAAAATATGTTAATTACACTATATTGAATGAATAAATACTAACATATTTTATTTATCAATTTAACTTTATCAGTACCTAGTATCTTGTAACTGGTTACACAGTTTTAGAGTAACTTATAACTTGTAACCAGTTACAATAAATAATGTAACTTGGCCAACCAACCCCGACTATAATGCATAGTATTTATTTGTAAATTCAATACCTGTTTTATTTTATATTTAGATGATCATGTTACTAAAAAAAAAAAAATTACAAGGACAAAATAACAAAATGGGCATCTACTCGAGCATCAATTAGTGAGCACCAGCAAACAGCCTTTTTGGAAGAACACAAACTGAAGATGACATTAGTGCAACAAAAACATGACACCGAAATAAAAATGTTGGCTGAAAAGCATTCAATTGAAATAAAAAATTTGAAGTTGACGCAAGAAATATTGCTACTGCAAAAGGAAAAAGCAATCAAGACTGATTATTAATTTGTAATGTTTTTATTTTAATTTTAATATGTATGTTATTATGTTCCTACTGAAAAAGGAAAATTACCATGACTGGGTTATTCATTTGATATGTTTTTATTTTAATTTTAATATGTATGTTATTATGTTCCTACTGAAAAAGGAAAATTACCAAGACTGGGTTATTAATTTGATATGTTTTTATTTTAATTTTAATATGTATGTTATTCTGTTCCTACTGAAAAACTGAAAAAGGAAAATTACCAAGACTGGGTTATTAATTTGATATGTTTTTATTTTTATTATATCATATATATATATATATTATTACATTGTTACTTATATAAAAAAAAAATTAAATTTCTACGTTATAATATTTATGTTATTACTATAATACTTATATAAAATAAAACTTTAATTTTTGTTGACATTGCATATTAGTTTGTAGTGAATTTATAATTTTAAACTGCATTTTGGAAATATCGAAGAAATCTCTTTCTATTAGTGTGATGAATTGCATTTCTACTAGTTCTATTATCTTCTGGATTACGGAAGTCTGTGATTCGAATTGAAGATTCTATTTCAGTTGAAACCCTTGGTGTAATTTCTCCAAAGTTACAGGCTATATTATGAAGTACTGCAGTAGCTACAATAATACTCTGAGATGATGAAATTTTTACATTTAAACTAGTCACTAAAATGGGAAATCGCCTTTTCCAAACACCGTAGCTTCTTTCCACAGTGTTTCGAGTTCTGATTAAAGACTCATTATATCTGTCTACAGAAACTGCAGAAATCCCTGATAATGGATCTATAACTGTGTTAGGGTTTCCGACTAGGGTCATAACATAGCTACGCTGAGCATATCCACTGTCAGCTACCAAAATGCTATTTTTTATTTCGTCTCTTTTAAACTTGCCTCTTATTGCTGAATTATTAAATATTGTAAAATCGTGGGAAGATCCAGGCCATCTAGCTACAATGTCTTGTATTTTCAAATTAGCATCACAAATCGTTTGTACATTCATGGAAAAGAAGCTTTTTCTGTTTCGGTACACTTTGCATTGTCTCCTCCAGGGGATTTTATTTTTACATTTGTACAATCCATTGCACCAATAACCATAGGAAATTTGGCAATGTTGTAAAAATCTTGTTTCAAACTTTTTATTTCATCTTCATCGCGTGGAAAATGAATAAAATCAGAACATAATGTGGCAATAACATGTGAGACAAGCCTTACTATACGGCTGGCTGTTGATTTATGGATTCCTATGAAGTCACCACAAACAATCAACATGGAGCCCAGAGTTGGGCATTATTCGAATAAAACGTTATTCGAATAATCATTCGAATAAAATATTATTCTTTATTCATTTATTTTTCATTTGATTATTCTAGTTTATTTTTATTCATCATTTTAATTTTTACGATGATTTGTTATTCACTATTCTTATGGGTTATTCTAGATTTTTTTATTCATCATTCAATTATTCGTTATCCATTATTCTTTATTGTCGACCTTATCTCAAATGATTCGTGGAAATTCCAACTTGATTAAAAATTGAAACCGGTGTGTTTCATTTGTATTGGTATATTATATTATTATCTGCTATCGAAAATGTCAAAACCAAAAATCATAAATAATATTTTTATCTCTACATATATTGTACTATTTGTCCTCGACATCGACATGTTATTTAGTATTTACCCGCACATTGGGTTTTACTGCTTTAGTAACATTTGTAATTAGATTAAAATAAAGTCTGATATAATTTGATGTAGCTATATTATAATTTACAAGTGCTGAAATTGTATTTAATACACTATCGACGTTTGATATCGACAGTTCACAGTAGTTATTTTCATTTTTCTGTAAGTTTGTAAAATTAATACAGTTATGAATGATTTGAGTATTACGAGTGGCAGTGACACTGTTGAAGTTTATAATGATGAAAGCGGGTCAAGTTCATCTCAAACTGTAGAATTATTGGAGGGTCAGAGTCAAACTATTTCCCAAGATGAACAGCAGTCATCAAAGTCGATAAAAACGGCCACTATACTTGATGGAACTTTTTTTAAACTGATTTCGTCTGACTCTAAAAATGTGATAGCAAGTTGTGTTAAATGTCAGCCAAAAAATGTAAACATTAAAGGATCTAAATTTTCATCGTAAAATTTTAAATCACATTTAAAGAGGAAGCATGATAGTACAGTTTTAGATGAATATGAAAATTATATAAATGACGCACGAAAAAAAGAAAAATATGAACATCCCAATAATACGAACTGTAAGAATAAAACAAAATACTCTCAAAATCAATTTGACGAAGATGTAACTAATTATATTATTCATTCAATGGCACCTCTCAGTACAGTAAAAAATCCATTTTTAAAAAAAATGTTTATTGCATCTGGAATTCTTAAAAATAATAGTTTAACTTTAATGAGTCGCCGGAGCCTTAGTAGAAAAATCGAAACTCGTTTTAATACAAACATTGAAAAATTAAAAAGTACATTCGAAAAATTAAATTACTTATGCACAACAGCTGATGTGTGGTCTGCAAAAAGAAGAAGTTTTATGGGTGTAACCGTTCACTGGATTGATAAAGACTCGTTAGAGCGAAAATCAGCTAGCCTAGCATGTCGCCGTTTTAGAGGTGCTCATACACACGATAGAATCGAAAAAATATTACATAATATAATATACTACAAGTACAATTTGAACGTGACTAAGGTAAATATGCTATATAATATAGTTAATAGTTTTAATAGTTTATGGACTATTGCACACAAACGATACCTTAAGGTATGAATTATTTATATAGAACTTTTCTATAGTTTATCAGGCATGATTTTTTTTGCGATTTATTTTTATCATTCTATGACGTATTTTTTGCTAAATAATAAACAATTTCATTAAGGGGATCGCACCACACGTATTTTTCATGCGTTTTAGACCAATAAGCGGTAGTAAATTACACAGACTTCAGAATGTCCGATTTTAATTACGCTGGAGCCCCCTTAATAAAAATTGTAAAAAATGTATTTTTATTGATTTTTTGATTATTGTGGCTTAACTCAATAATGATAATAATTATCTGGTTTAATTTAATGAGCTTGAACATTTTTTTTTTGGTCATAGGTAATAGAAACGGTTACAGATAATGGCAGTAATATGGTTAAAGCATTTGATGTATTTGGTGTAAAAATGACACATTTTAGAAAATTGAGTGATAGTAATGATACTGACGAAAGCGATAGCGATTCAAGTGTTCATAGTTTTCAAAGTGAAGATTTAGAAAATGAACCTTACGTTATTCTTTCTAGGCATATTCGATGTTGTGCTCATACATTGAGCCTTTGTGCTACCAGTGATATAATGAAAACCATTATAATATCATCGCCACATCTCCATGAAATACATACTAGAGTCATGCAAAAGTGTAATATGTTATGGAATGCGGCAAGTCGACCAAAATCAGCAGAGATAATTCAGTCAATTTTAGGACATACCCTATCAAGACCAGGTGAGACTAGATGGAATTCACTATTTGACTCGTTAACTCAAATTCAAAAAATAAAAGAAAAATCTAGTGAACTTACTAAAGCACTTAATTTAAAGCAGTGTACATTTACTGTTTCTGACCATAGTTACATTGAGGAATTTTTATTTTGTGTTAAGCCTTTATCACAAGCACTGGACATATTGCAAGGAGATAAAAGTGTATTTTATGGTATGGTTTTTCCCACACTGTTATGCTTGCAACGAAAATTAATGGTTATTAACAGTGAACAATTGATTTATTGTAAATTAATTCGAAAAAGTCTTCTAGATAGCATAGAAAAAAGATTTTCTAAGATTTTAAGTTGTAATACAGTTGAAGCTGAAAATGCAGCTATTGCCACTTTTTCTCACCCCAAGTTCAAAAATAAGTGGTTAAATTGTATTCCTACGTCATCTTTACGTGATAAACTTTTATCAATATTTAAAAAAGCAGTAACAGCTGAATCTATAACACGAACTAGTGAAGAAAATGTTGAAATTGAAGATCAGAATGATTTTTATGACTTTGGTCCAGCAATACAAAATGACAGAACAGATACATCCATGTCTGCTGAGATTGAAGTATATATATATGAAATTAAATGTTTTAGTTGAAAAATTATTCTAACATTTCTAACTAGGGTTTTAAATGTATGTTTAAGGTATTAAAGTATTTTGAGGATCCACGTCAACGTCTTGAAAGTTTAAACTCACATCCTACTGTGAAAAATATTTTTCTTCGGTACAATACTCCTGTGGCATCTTCAGCTCCAGTAGATAGACTTTTCTCTTTTGCGACTATGACAAATTTACCAAAGTCAAATAGATTATCAGATGATTTATTTGAGTATAAAGTTGTATTAAAATCAAATTTAAATTATCAATTGCAGAATGAAAATTAAAAATATTTTCTATATATTTTTATTATTATTTCTATTTTTTTCATGATTATTGTTATTATTATTCACAATTTATTTAGTTAATTTATCCAGAATAATCGATTTATTCACAAGTTAAATTATTCAGAATATTTTTTTTTTTTTATTCACAACTTAAACTATTTAAAATAAAATATTATTCTTTATTCACAAAATAATTAGTTATTCATGCTTTTATTTTTTATTCATTATTTTGATTTGTTTTTGCCCAACTCTGATGGAGCCCGTCGCATAATAGCGTAGTGTAAGGAGTAATTTAAGCTCTGAACTTACAGCATGATTCCTAGAACAAAATTCAATTGTTATATAGAAACCACAACTCAATTTCAATTAAATAGTTTGTCAGACTTTCCACTTTCAACAGTGCAGTATTAGGTAACTTATTTTGTACAACTTAAAATTATGATTTTTAGATAAGATTATTTATGTTTAACATGTATTAATTATAGTAATTTTTGAACAATTGTAATTGTTGGGTATAATTTTCTAAATTGGTTAATTTATTTCGATGTTCGGTAAAGTACATGATACTACATGGTTAAGATGTATGATTTCGGAAGTACAGAGTAACGCATTTGAATATATCTACATATGATACTGGCGTCTGGCATTACAAAAATGTAAAATTTAAGAATGAACTTACCAATTAGTAGAACAGATGCGTTCGCCTATTAAATTAACTAAGAAATATACTGTACTTTTGGATAATCGAAATCTATCAAAGAATTCATCATAACTCCAATAAGTGAAATGATCAGGCCGTGGCTTTAATACTCGCTGTCGTCTAGGAAAATACAATAATAATGCCAAGTTGTTGAATTCATCATCCTCGTAGTCAGAATCGTCATCCATAATGTATTCAGTATTTTAAATAAGATTTTTAACACGGTTAAATAAAAAAAATACACAATTGTCAACTATACAAAAAATTTAAAGATGGTGGTAGTAAGATAATGTGAATAAATTAAAATAATAGATAACAATACCGCCAAAATTAACTAATCAGCGTTTAACCGTGGTCTACAGGCCGGTTAACTATTTGGTCGTTTAATCAATGATTAACAAGTTAACCAGCACTGTACAACGACCCAAAATCGTTAATCATAGATTAAATCTTAATCACTGTTTAACCGACGACGGTACAAGCACAGAACAAACAGAAGGGAATCTTATTTCATTTAACATAGGCTCTTATGGGAGATGATAAAACCATGTCCGACATTTCTAAAATTTAAACGTGCTGCCACGTACCGGGAATTTCTCTTTTTTCTTTATATTGTGCAGCACTGTTTATTCGTTCAAATTTCTAATATATTATTATATTCAAACAATCAAACCGATTTTTTTTAAGAAATTGCATTTCTATCATTTATCTAAGTACAGAATCTAAGAAAAACAAAAACTATACATATTTTATTTATCACTATCATTTATGAGTGGAATTGCAGATTAACAGTGTAGCCACAAACCACAGAAAACTTAAAAAAAAGAGAATTTCTCGGTACGTGGCAGCACGTTTAAAATTTAGAAATGTCGGACGGTTTTTCGATGAGCCTTAAGATTCCCTTCTGTTTGTTCTGTGGTACAAGTACAACTGGCCCTAAGACAATCAGCTGCTGTGTCAAGAATACTAGCGCTCTCAAGTTGTATTATATTCCCGCACTTTTTTTAAAAAATATATTATATGTATTATTGTGTTTGATTTGTGTCACAAAAAATGTGGGCAAGAGTCAAAATATTTTGAAATTTATATGATGTATTTTAAAATGCTAATACAAACATCTAAATAAAATTTAAAATATTTGTGGTTATAAGTTAGTTTTAGTTGCATAAAAAAAACAAATCTATTTGGTCGAAAACTGCTTCTGCGGTTCTGCCTAAAAATCCTAGTCAATTACCACTCAAAAGTACCAACTAGATTATTTTTCCCACCAGAAAATATTATGAAGTTGAAAATAGAAGCATTATTTCTATTAGCAAAAATGTTTACTGCAGATTTTTAAAATAGCAATATATTATTTATATATTATAAGTTGTTTAAAATAATATATTTTTTTGATAACAATAAGTGGTAGTTAGTTCTTGTGATTATAATTTTTTGATGATAATTTGCATTTTCTCATTATTTTATTAAATATTTTTAAACATATTTTATATAGATCTATATGTCTACCATGGTAAGGGAGAACAGATGTTGTATACAAAACTGTCCAGGGTTACATAAATCTAGGTTTAGCATCCCATTGTGAGACAAACAGCAGGACCTAATGATCACCCTGCTACTCCAACATTTCTACTGCTATACAGACTATTATCTGTATACTCGTTAGTCAAATCACCTACATCAGGAAATTGTACATTATCAGAAGGTACGATTAAAATTTAACTAACTATATAATTGAATAAATATAATTAACATACCTAGTAAATACTTTAGATTCCAATTATAGTCCTGCATTAACAATAACTGATTTGAAAGAAGCAGCTATGAAAAATCCATCACAACGAGTTGAAAACATAAATAAACTAAAATCTCAGATAGACTTAATTGTTGAAGAAGGTAGATGAGACCTAGATGATATATTTGAAAATTCTGACATAAGTAAAGCTGACACATTTGACTGTGTTGTTTATTACTTAGAAGGGTAATATATATTATTTATTGTTAATCTGTAATACTACTAATACTACTTTTAGACTACAGTATATTGTATAATGTATAGCCAAAGTTTAAAATACAATTTATAATTTATATTTATCTATTTGATTAGATATTTAGCCAGACGGATTGCAAAGAAAACGGATTGCCCTGACTGCTTAGCTGGGATTAAGAGCTTCGAAGAAGTTACCATAAATCATGCTGAATTAGTGAACCTAAAATCTCGAGGCTATTTAACTCACCCAGACAGTCATTTTTATGTACTACTTAGAAGCATTGAGAGTTCATTCATGAAACATGCAAATAGTGCCTATGTGTTTGATGATACTGTAGAAGACTTCATATCAAACAATTATATAGTACCATTTCCTTGTAATGTCCATAAAGAAAAAGTCGAATTGGATATACTAATATCATATATCACAATGAGAATGCGTCAACATTCCTATATAACTAATAAAAAACTAAAAAGTCCAAACATAATAAAAAAGAAACTGTCAAAGTTAGTTTCCAAATTGTATTAAGAACAATTTATTTGGAAATAATTGTATACAATTAAAAGTTATGATTAATAAATAAAATACATATTAAAAATTTAAGAAATTTAAATATTTAAGTAGGGACCTGGCACAGTGGCACATCGACATCGGTAACATAAATGATTTTCTATGATAAACGGTAGTATTGATAATAAGTACATACATTATACACTACAGTACGGTCCACGAAAACGTGCGGGTGACCGCTGCGCGCCTCGTGGCGATTTCTCTGAAAGCCAGTGTACCTCAACATATGATCCGTGCCAACTGCTGGTGTTGCAGCCGGCGCGGCATGCCGGCTGCAATACCGGTGAGGCAACCAAATGTTTTATATGTAGGAACATCCCTTTATATTGAATAAACTGCAACCGGTGTCCGGCACCCCATGTGCTATTTAACAATAGCATAGCACATCCGTACATTTTGAAATTGGAATTTAGATATAATAGTGGGGACTACAAAAAAAAAAATAGTGGCTTGAAACCCTGAAGCATTTAACAGCTATAGCAAACGTATCTCTGTCTTGTATCGACTCCACGTGCGTTTGGTGCTCCCTAGTCATTAGTTTTGATATTTAATGAAAAGTGTATTGATTTTCGCAATTTTTAATCTCACGTTTTAAAAATGGCTTCTTGTACACACAATGATATTCATAGCCAAAGTAAACAAGTGATTTTTCGCGTGTATACTTTTTTCAAAAAACTGTCTGCTATGGAAAATTTATCAGCAGAGTTTTTTAAAAAAACTCAGCTCATTACTGCAGAAGCGTGTGGAGTCAGCGAACGAACTGTTCAAAAAATTTTCGCGGAATCAAAAAAATCTGAAAATGAAAACGTCACGTGTGCAAAAACTTTATTCAAATCGCCGAGTAAAACATATTATAGGAAAAAGAATATTACTGATATCGATGATTTCAACGCCGATGTAGTCCGAAGATGTGTCCATGAATTTTACGATAAAGGTAACTAACTCATTTTTGTAATATTTAAATTTTTATTTACTTTCTCTCTAATAAGTCAATAAATTACAACTATTAACTATAGCTTTTTTGAAAATTTTTTTTTAATATACGCATCAAGATTTTTTCAATACGAATATTCCAAGTTTCATAAAGATTGGATTGATCCATTTTAGATTCTGAGTGAAGCGATGAATGTATTGATTTTACAATGATGTGTGTTTTTTTTTTTTTTTTATTTTTTTTTTTTTTTGTGTCTGTGTACACGATAAGTAGTCGAAATAATGCTTCGATTTTCGACTTCAGTATCTCGTTCGATGGGAAAGTGAATATCGTTGGTGCATTGGGGAGGTCAAAATTTAAATTTCCCAGTAGTTTTCAAAAGCGACGTGAAAAACAAAAGAAAAATTAAGGAAAAACGGGAATTTTTACGCAAAATCAATATTTAACAAAATCGATTTTGGTTATTGGTGTAACTCTAAAACAAATGACCGTAGATGCATGAAATTTTCACTGGTTGTTTATATTTGCATTTTCTATACACGATACAAATTTTAAAATAATATGATTCTTTTTGAACTGTTTACGGACATTGTCAGTTTTCAATTTTTTTAGTTTTTTTTCCTATAAATATCAATAAAATTTTATTTGTTGGGTAAAAAGCTTGAAAATTTAATAGAAGACTCCTAGATTATTGTTTCAAAGGAAAATTAAAAAAATTTAAAATCCTTAGTCACCGTTTTTATTTATAAGTATTTAAAGTTCAAATTTTGACAAAATACAGAAAAATCACGAAAATTAGCAATTTATTTTGAGTTGAGAATTCATAAAAATTTTTCTTTTTAAATCTAAGATTTGAAAATGTAATACAAGATTCCTCATAAGTTTGTCTACCTTTATCAAAAAAAAAATGTCTACAAGAAAGTCAAATTAAATTTTTATGAGCGTTTGAAATTCATATTTTTACAACATTTGATATTCACTCGATATCTCATGTAACGATTTTCTTATTTTGTTTTAATTAAAAAACGTATGACTGTAGATACTTGAAAATTTCACTGAATGTTTGTATTAGCATTTTCTATACACGATTAAATTTTAAAAATAATTTGACTCTTTTTGAGCTGTTTACAGACATTGTCAGTTTTCAATTATTTTAGTTTTTTTTTCTATAAATATCAATAAAATTTTATTTGTTGGGTAAATTAGCATGAAAATTTAATATAAGGTTCCTGATATATCGTTGTAATAGCAGTTGAAAAATATTAAAAATACATATGCACAATTTTTTTTTTTATCAAAATATATCAAATTTATAAATTAATAATTATTTTGTAGTTAAAAATTTATAAAATGATCAACTTTTAAAGCTAAGGATTGAAAATTTAAAACAAGGCTCCACGTAAATAGGTTATAATATATAAATTAATTTATTCACAATAATATATCATCAAATATACTTGGAAATATCACAGGCTGACTGACCGTTTTAGCTCAAAATCGTTTTTCTTATACAATGATATTATATCATTGAATTCAAATTGAACACCATCCATTAAAGTGACCAACTTGTCACATACTGTACAGCAGAGCGACATCCACTTACCCACCTTTTTTTATTATATACCTACACTTCAATTTGAAAAATATAAATATGTTTAATATAATAATATTATTTATGTATATTTATTTACATAATTAATATTATTTAATTATAATGTTGTAAAAAGCTATGGTATTGATTAACACTCTGTATTTTACAATTTATATAAAAATGAAATAATAAATAAAAATTATCATTGTAGGTGAATATCCAACTTCTGGAAAGATATGTGAAGCTTTGAAGACAAAAATTAATTTTGAAGGATCTAAAACATCCGTGAAAAGAATTCTGCAATCCTTACACTTTAAATATAAAAAGTGTAGCAACGGTCGGAAATTTTTAATGGAACGGAACGATATTGTGGCGCTTCGAAACACATTTTTAAGGAAAATGTGTACTCTACGTTCGAGCGGTGACACTAGACCTGTTATTTATCTAGATGAAACTTGGGTGAATCAAAACCACTCGAGAAATCATATTTGGCAAAATGAATTGGATCGTGAAGGATTTAGAGTGCCTATTGGTAAGGGTGGTCGCCTTATAGTATGCCATGCTGGAGCAGCTAAATTTGGTTTCATTTCTGGCTCTAAATTAATTTTTAGAAGTAAAAATGACGGTGACTACCATTCACAAATGAATAGTCAAATATTCCATGATTGGTTTATAAATATGTTACAATTGTTAGAAGAGCCATGTGTCATCGTTATGGATAATGCTCCATATCATAGCGTTTTAGTGGAGAATGTACCAAAATCAAGTACGAAAAAGGCCGATGTTCAAAAATGGCTGACAGAAAAAGGTATAGAGTTTTCCCTGTGTGAAACTTTGGCTGAGCTCAGAGAGAAGATCAAAATGGCAAGACCACGAGAGAAACGCTACCAGTTAGACGAGACGGCATTTCAAATGGGACATGAAGTAGTTCGACTTCCACCTTATCACTGTCAATACAACCCGATAGAGTTGATTTGGGCTCAAGTGAAAGGAGAGGTGGCTTCCAAAAACACCACATTCAAAATAGCCGATGTTGAAAGACTTATGCACGAAGCCATAGATGCTGTCACTCAAAGTAATTGGGAAAGATGTGTAAGACATGCAGAAAAACTTCAAGAGGAAGATTATGCAAAAGAAGGTTTCAGAGATCATATAATGGAACCTATAATTATGACAATTGACTCCGACGACAGTAGCTGTAGTAGCGACGAAGAAAACGACGATTAACAATTTTTTATAATATTTTTTTTTTTATTTATTTGATTTTTTTTATATTATTAATTATAAAATAGCAGTTATCAAATTTATGTAAGGTATTTTTTTTTTATTGAGTACAATTATATACATTTTATAAAAAAAATATACGCATTGTACAATGTACATATTATGTGTGTACACGATTAATTTCAAAATTTAGCGGGAAATAGTTTACCAACCACCGACGCAAAATTGCCACGAGGCGCGCAGCGGTCACCCGCACGTTTTCGTTGACCGTACTTTTTTTTTTTGTAGGGCTAAAGTAGCGCTAGGTGGTTTGACACATCTTAGCAATTAGTGTATTCAGTTTACCACATTCCGTTCCGTATCCAGTATATTTTAATTCGTGGGTAGGTTTGATCTAGTTGACTTTGAACCTCTAATATTGTTCTTCCGTAATGTACAGGTGGTTTTGGAAGCTATAAGAGGAAAATATAGTTATTAATATTAATAATATAGATATTAATATTCATATTCAGCTACTACGTGCAGCTAGTTGAGTAGGTTGATCTGGGTTAAATATTTAAATAAGTTGAACAAAATGTAACCTTATTTGATAATAATAATAAATAATAGGTAAATACCTACTTAATACTATTGTTTATAAAATACTATAGATAGCTCACTGGGCACGGTAATTGTTGGGTAACAAAGAGCTATAAGGCGTTGTAGTCGCGTCTAGCGTTGGCGGGTGACGTTGTAATCGCTAGTAGTCGCGTCTGGTCGGTGTTGGCAACAGCAATTTCTGGAGAGGCACATCATTCCATTATTGACTACCCGCGTATACTTTATATTCATTTTCACCATCTCTATCATTATGGTAATACCATTGTATAATATCCGGCACGCAGAGCGTACGATATATATTTTCTATGCGTACAATCAGAGATACGATGCGTTTTCGCGGACTTACTGGATACAGTGATACGGGATGATCAAAATCGACTGAACCCTGTATATAATTCTTTTTGAACACTAATAAAATATTCACTGCTTATGTCTTAAGACAGCAAACAAATATAATTAATTAATTAGTGTAATGAATACTAATATTATGACAATTAATAATCTAAATAAATAAAACAATTTAGTACTGCTTGATTTAAAAAAAAACCATAAAAATAGACTTGAATACAGTTGATACAATTTTATAAAATTATACACTAACATTTATAAATTAGTTACCTATTTTTTGGAAAAACACTTAATTTTTCTGCGTTCTGTATTTATAATCAATGCTAATAGTATGCTACTATTAATTTTAAACTGACAAAAGGTTATGACCAAGGCTCGGGACTTAAAGCATTTGCTTATTTTTATAGATTGACTTAAAATGTAGCAGAGTGCTATAGAAGTGTATGTCATGTTACAACACATTCAATTATGAAATTTGAGAGTGCTTTTTCAGTGATTTTTCAAAAAAATGCTTATTACATAATATAAGGCATTATGAGCAATGACCATGTTACATTGTACAAGGAATATAAATACGCAGTATATCATGTATATAATAATTTACTATATTATACAATATGATATGATTTATTATTAATTTATGTAATAAACAATGTATAATTATTATATAAATTATAAATTTGACGTATACTCATCAGCACTCATCACATTAAAATATTAAATATTTAATTAAAGCAATATAAATAGGTACCAACTTTATAATGAACAACAAAGGGAATATGGGTATTATACCTCATTATTTTACTGATAAATTGTGCGTATAGTTTCATCATGCCCCTCTCAACCACCAAGACCATTCTCGTCATTTATTTTTGAACGAATTTGAATATTTTTTTACTATTTTTAAGTATTCAAAATACGAACCATAGTGTTTATTTTGGTACAAAGATAATGACTAAAACAGTCAACACTCAACAGCCATCGGTCAATGTTAAAATTTGCGTCTACTTATATCGAATACCTATTGTGTCTTGTTTTTTATTTTATTGATTTAAAATAAATTGTTTCTGAATACTCGATCTTAGTATTTTAATAAATATGTCAGGAGATAAATGTGAATATTATAACGGTAATTTGACTAGGTCATCGAAAAATATTTTTCACCTATTTCCAGCCAATATTGAATTACACAAGCAATGGATAGATAATTCATCTAAGTATTCAAAATAAAAACAGTTATACAATGGACGGTTTTGGTGAGAAAGGTCAAATAATATGATTTTTCAGGAGACAACAAAAACATATTTTGTACAATAGCAATTTTTTTCATTTATATATAATATGCACTTTTTCACACATCAAATTATAATTTTATTATGAGCTTAATTAAACAGGGTGACTTATGACACAAGATATTTTAAAACTTATTGACTTATGTCTTGTATCACATTTGACTTAATACTTTTATCACGTCCATACTCTTGCGAGAAATGGCATAAGTAAAAGAAATATTTTTTTTTTTATTCACAGCACTTATAAAATAATTAAATAAAAATCCTTTTCTCAAGAAAATAAATTTGAGTTTTTAATAACGAAATATTGCTAACAGAAAAAAATAATAAAATGTTAATATTAAAACAGAAGTAAAAACATACATTTTAACATTCAAGAGAAACGTTTCTTTTTTCAATACCTACGTGCATTTGCGTGTGCCCCGGTACCATGAACTTTTGGTCTTTAACTAATATTTTGTCTTGATGTTCCAAAAAAGCTGAGCATGTTGCCATAAATACAGAATTCTTATTTTTACCTGGAGAGCAGTCATCGTACCTACATTATAACGTGGGAAATATTTGGTGGTAGATTTTATAAGTAATGGAATACACAAGGCCCAATATTGTTGGCCCCTCTTCTAGTAATAGCCTCATTCCAAATATAACAATATGCAGATTAAGTTAAAATATTATGCACTGTTAGGTTAAACGTCCGTCCATAGCTGTCTTTTATAGAAAGCCACAGATGATTCCAAGTTGGGAGTTGGAAGGCATTGCTGGAGATCGAATGCTATCACACATTTATCATCAGTTTGTCCATACAAATAAATAAAATAACCCCCCAACATAAATTAATATATAAATATTAAATACTCCTAAAAATCCGGGATGATCAACTATGACTTCAATACTATTTTAGGTACCTACACTGTATACAAATTATTTTTCAACTACAAAGCTGTAGAATATAGGCTATATTTTATCTCCCTTCCTCATTGAGTCCGCAATCTACCGCAGGTATACACTATTCGCCGAGAGTTGAAACACTCACTCGACGAAAACTGGTCACGGCTGAGCAGGCCTTTGGAGCGCTAGTGGTGATCATCGTCAGGCGAGGACTGGTAGAAAAGGGCACGGGATGCTGCACAATTTAAAGGGCAAAAAACAAAAATTGTTGGGGCAAATTTAAAACATGTATATTATTTATAAAAGGTTAATATATTTTATTTTGTTATAAAAAAATATTAAATATTGAATATACGTTAAAAACGTAAATAAATACAAAGTTACAACAAACTTTCAATCAAAATTGTAAAATATTTTATATTAGGTACTAATAATCGTAAGTCGGTAACGATCTGCTGTTCATTAGGTGTCTTGAGTCTTTAAATATATAATAAATGGATGCATACGAATTGCATGCCAAAAAAAAAAAATGTCCAAATTGCATGCCGTCTGTTGTAGGCGTCTGTCCGAATTGCATGCCATCTCTTGGAGGGGTCTGTCCGAATTGCATGCCATCTCTTGGAGGGGTCTGTCCGAATTGCATGCCATCTCTTAGAGGGCTTTGTCCGGATTGCATGCCGTACACCACACGTTTATTTACTATGCACTTAACCAACTTAAACTTTTTTTTGGACTTTCCTAATTTTTTTAAAAAAAATTCATGTATAGAAACGCTCTTTTATGTATGGTTGTTACAACTGTTTAGTGATTAGTTTCTGGATTGAAATATTTTTATATCCGTGTAATAATTTTCCCAAACAGTATCTATATTGGAGTAATGTAGTGTATTGTGGTCTCGGTCTGTTTCACAACAGATTAATAATATTTTATTATTATGAATTATTATTATATATTATTTTGTTTATTTAAATAATTGTAATATTGTGTGCCCGAAATGTCAAAAAAAACCACCAAATTTAAAAATAATATTATTTAAAATACATTCACTTGATTACCCTAAAATACAATAGTTTTATTTAACTAATGGCCTTTGTTGTCGATGAAAAAAAAATAGTTTTATTTTATGATTCTTATTCACAGTGTCACCTTCTACATTATTTATATGTTTTATTGTAATGTAACAAAATCCCGATCCTCCAGTTGAAAAGTAAGTTATTTATTCGGATATACCCCTCTAAGAGATGGCATGCAATTCGGACAGGCCCCTCCAAGAGACGGCATGCAATTCGGACAGACCCCTCCAAGAGACGGTATGCAATTCGGACGACCCGATTTATATTTATTTTTTTGGCATGCAATTCGGATGCACCGTAATAAATAATATTAGGCAAATATATTTTAGGGCAAGAGATCCTGTACCACCCTAGCAAGTCCGAGCCTGATCGCCGCTAATAGCAGCTGCCTACTTCGACGTAGTGATGTGCGAAAAAAATCGATTTTTTTGAAATCGAAAAACCGATTTTTCGGACCGATTCTGGGATGCACCGATTCGATTCGATTCAATTTGATAAGAATCGGCAATTTTTTTTAAATTTTTTTCCTGGTTTATCGTTACTGGCTACAGCCGAATGCTGAGTGCTTATTTGGACCGAGATGTTGGCCACACTGAATAATCCCGATACCCTGTGAATCGTCGTTATTCTTTATTCGTACTTCGTAATTTCGTAATTCATATTTGCAGTTCGTACTGTTAGAAGTGTTCGTCTTTGTACTGATTGTAATTTGTATTGTTCGTTCTTCGTACATCAGAGTCCGACGTTTTGAAATTTTAGCTTCGCATATTAGACTTTTTTCATCTTATTACATCCGTTTTCTGTTAGTACCTTGTGGCTTGTGTTATAACTTGCTTTATCGATCGTAAAAATGTTAATGTATTTTAATAAGTATAATATAAAATACAACCTGCCGCTGTTTGCGATGTGCGTGACACGTGTGCCGTTCGCATTGATCGTAGCACCTATCTTACCTTAAAATGTTTGTGTATTTTAATAAGAATAATATAAAATACAACACGCCGCTGTCTGCGACGTGCGTTTCGCATTTATCATGTCCGACAAATCAAATTCAAAACAAAGTTCCATTTGGAGTTATTTTAAAAATACACCTGATCCGGAAGAAGTTTTTACTTGCAAACTATGTGAAGCTCCAGTTAGACCATGCGGTAATACCACAAACATAAGGAACCACATAAAACGAAATCATTCAGTCGCTAATGTTGCTGTTAGTAAAAAGACCACTAAGACTAAAGTTTGTCAAACATCAATGGCGTCAAGCAGTTCGACACATAATGAAGATATTGACGATCCAGATGAACCTGATTTTGTTGTAAATAAGGTAAAATACTAAGATGCTCAATAGTTATTAATAATGTGCTTAAACCAATTTCTTTTTTTCTTTTTTTTTAATATAGTCTCATGAAACAGACCACGTTAAATTTTTTTGCTGTTAAAACGAGTCCACGTTCGGGCATCGTGGAAGATTCATTTGGTTCATTCGGCGGATCCATTGCATCAACACCTACATCCACAAGTGTTTCATAAAATACACAGTCTGTGTGCTTAAAGCAAAGAACCATGTTCGAGTCGTTTTCGGACATAAAATCATATGACAGTAAGAGTTAATTTTTTAATTCATAACTTTAAAATTATAACAAATTGTCCAAATTGTTTTAGGATTTGGACATAAGACACGCTCGATAACTAATGCGCTGACTTTCATGATAGCAAACGACAATATGCCATTATCAACCACCGAAAATAAAGGATTTAAATATCTTATGCAAAAAGCAGCGCCTATGTATAAACTTCCTTCCAGGAATACAACAACTAACTTAATAAAAAGTAAATATGAAGTGTTATCAAATTTAATTAAATCCAAACTCAGTGTGATTGATTATTTAACATTAACATCAGACATCTGGACTGGTACAATCAACACGTAAAGTTTTCTGGGCATGACTGTTCATTATTTTGATTCATCTAAAGTTGCCCTAGACAGTATCACAATAGGCTTACTAGAACTTTCTACCAACCATACCTCTGAAAATATTTCAATTTGGTTTGAACAACTTCTTACAGACTGGGGTAAAAATAAAACTCAGGTTTTCACAGTAGTGACTGATAACGGGTCAAATATTTTGGGTGCAGTTAAAAAAACTTTTACTCCAGAAAATCATTTGCCATGTTTTGCACACACATTAAATTTAGTGTCTGAACGAACGATGCACAACAAGTTATCAACAAAATAAAGTCTGTTGTTACTTATTTTAAACATTCAGTTGTTGCTTGTGATGAACTTAAGAAATTGTGTAATCTTAAGCTGAAGCAGTCCGTACCAACTCGTTGGAATTCTATATACTATATGATAGATTTATTTCGTGTTCCAATCATATAGCCTCTGTTTTAATAAATATACGTGGGGGCCCTATAATGTTAACTGCAGAAGAAATTGATTTAGCAAAAGAAATTATATTAGTGTTAAGGCCAATGGAAGTGGCAACAAAAGAGCTGTGTGGCCAGAAATATGTAACATGCAGCAAGGTAATACCTTTAATAAATTGTCTTATAAAAAAAACTGAAGGTTTTACTCTTTTAAATCCAATCGCTTTATCGTTAAAAAAGGCCATGTTAGAGAATCTAGATATTAGATTTGATAGGATGGAGGACATTGGTTTGCTTACTGTGGCCACCATATTAGACCCGAGATTCAAAACAATTCACTTAAATAACCCAAACGCTACTGCTAGGGCTATTAAATTTATAAAAAAAAAAATAGTGATGATCTTAACTCCTCCTCGTGCCAAGACTCTAGTGATGATGATAGTGATCGGCGTGATAGTTTGTGGTCAGTTCACACTGAGCTGGTTACAAAAAAAGCTGCATCACAAAGTTCTACCTTGTCTGAAGAGCGCATTCCAACAGATCTAAAACATTATTTAGACCAGCCCACAATATCTTTAACTGATGACATCCTCAAATATTGGGAACAGAATTCTAATATGTATCCTTACTTGTATAAAATTGTACGCCCCTATCTGTCAGTTGTTGCAATTTCTGTCGCGGTTTCTGTTCTCAGTCATTATGTTTCCTGCCTTTGAAAATAAACGTTCTGAAGGGGGAGAAGTTGCAACAACTTTTATTTCTGAGCTCTCTGCATTTTGATTAATTAAAAACTTATTTTGTTGAATAATGTAATCTATACCACCTACCATTTTGTTAATATATATAATGTAATTATCTGTAAATATATATAATGTAAATATCTGTAAATATGTATAATGTAATTATCTGTAAATATGTATAATGTGAATATCTGTAAATATGTATAATGTGATTATATGTTAAATATTTGTAAATATACACTAAACATTTAATGAATCAATAGTGAGCTAATGGTCCCTTAAACAAGATTAAGTGGCCCACGATTGGTCCATTAAATTTAATAATTGTAATATGTGAAAGTACCAATGATGTAAATAATAAAAACATAACAGTGTTTACCATAATCATTATAGCGTTATTTATCTACCTACATATTAAATACCTAAATCCTAACTAGGTCAATTGAAACTTATATTTCAACATTATATTGTATTATTTATTTGTATTGTATCATATTCTTACTTATTATTAATGTAATATTTTACATTTTGTACTTTAGTACTAATATATGTTACTGCTAGTACACACTACATAACATCAAGAATGTTACTTAAATGAGTAAAATGCGTTAATAACAGTAATAGGTCAAAATATTAAGTTTCAAAATTCAAATTACTCAGTACAAATAAAAAAAATAAATGCGTGAAAAAAATAACAAAAATATAATGTACCAAATTTACTAAGTTAGAATGAATTAAATAATATGTCACTTTTATGTTTAAATTCAGTCACTTAGTTACTTTTTTATATAGCTTTGACCTCTTGCAGCCCTGCCTAGGTGGTAATTAAACATTAATAATTAACATATTTTTAACTAAGTCAAATATTTTCTTATAACTACAATTTTGGTGTTGATTACATTGTTTATTATGTATTAAGTACTAACTTAACTAATATTTTTTCTCATAAATTTGCCCACTTTGATAATGGCAAAATTCAATAAAGTTATTTACCTATTAGGTTCTTTTGTAGACTTTTGTCTACAAAAGTTATTGTTACAAATAATATACTGACTTCTGAGACCTCTATAGTCTATAGGAACCCTAGTCTATTAAAATCTGTTTTGAAAATTGAATATACCTCTTTAAGTTAATAATTAGTTACCTAGTAAAATAATTAAATCAATTTATGATTTTATGAACAAGTGTTTTATTACCAAAAAATAATGTGTTTGAAAATTATTATACATGGTAAGTATTTGTATTTCTGAATAGACGTTTTATGTGTTAGTTATATGCATAGTAAAAACATTTTAAATTTAGTAATTTATTCAAAACAATTTAAATAAATTAAAAATTAAGGCGATTCATCCTCCCCCCTGTGACCAGCTATCACCATTTGGACACTGTCACTGTCCATTGAAGTGGTGAGTTCCGTTGTGATTGATGTAGCCATTACCATAGGGCATAAAGCTACAACACTTTCCAGTGTATACTCGCTCCGAAATCAAGTGCGACTAAGGCAGGGAGTCTTCGCACTGGCATTAATGAGTACGGAAAACCTTTATATATTAATCATTATGAACGCGGGCGTTACAAAGGAGAGCTAGATCAGGTCAAAAAGCGCAATCTACTGATTAAAAACATCGATAGTTTAAGAATCGATTCTCTGTCATGAAACGCCTATCACCACTTCGACGAGCACTGCCGATCGCCGAACAATCACAGACCACAGTCTCCTACACGGGGATCTGAGTATGAATGGGTCTCGCCGAATAGAGTATAGATTGCCTACCTGATAATATACTGTTCGCATAACCATAATCGAAACTCACATGCAACGCAACGCAGGATGGCCAAAAATTAAAATATAATATGATATTGCTTCCATCAGTGGTGGTGGTTCTTGACCAATTCCAGGGGGGGGGGAATATTTTTCACATTAAATACAATAAGTACTCAAAAATAGAAGTCATAAAAAAATTTATTTCAGGTAATAATTTTATATTTACAAAATAAAAGTCCTTTTTCGATTCTTTTGTTTTGCAAATCGGTCAATAACATTTTCAAGACTTACGGTTATATCTCTGTGAATATAGAGTAATGCTAAACCAGTAAGTCTGGTGTTCCCCATTCTTGACCGTAACCATGTTTTTACTCTATAAAAGAGTAACAAGCAAAGCAATAGACAAAAATGTTCAATTAAATGTTCTGTTCAAAGTTAAAAACCATGGAACAGAACTCAAGAAAACTTAAAAGTTGGCTTTTAAGATGTAATTTTTATGCATCATAAGCTTAAAAGATGTTTACAACTAATATAAGCTTTGAAATTGTCTTGTATAAAATCAAGGCTGGGCAAGTTAATAATATTTTTAAACTCAGATAAGTAAATCAATTTTTTTTTTTTTTTTTAAATTAAGTTAACAATTAAATTAATATATTAAGCTTTGATCACATCAATTAAGTTAACATACGATTTTATTGGGAAGTTAAATTAAAAAGTTAAAATTAACTTAACTTAAACTTATTAGCTGATTAATACCCAGTTTTAAATAAAATAGTGTTTACTGTTTTGAAGAATATAACCACACCATAATTAAATAAATTATTATCTAAATTTCTAATGTTTAATAAATCTTTAGAGTAGAAAAACTGCGCTCAGCCGAAGCAACACTAATATGCAAAGCACATATTATTATAAATATAGTCCTAATAATAGGAAAAACTGTTTCATGACACTCATCTAAGGCTCCCAAAGCATTTTCAAGAACATTTTTTGCTGAAAAAAAAAAATAATAAACATGCCTAAGAAACAATTAAAAAATCATTACCTTCTAATTTATGTGCTTGCCATTTTGTACACCAAATATCAAGTTCAGAATTGATAGCTTCTTTTGTCACGTCTCTAAAAATAGGATTCTTCATAGTTATTTCTAGTATTTCTAGCAATATAGTCCTAAGTACTGTGTCATTATTTTATTTCACTAAATTACTTGGTATCATTTTATTTTATTTTTTTGTAAATCGAGAACTCATGTCTTTCAAAATGCAGTCTAATAAAGGAATATATAAATTTATACGGTAGTAAACTTCAGGACTTTGGGGATTTGTTGGGCAGCTTTTATGCTTTTGACGTCCAACCAGTCTGGGTAATTTTATTTCTATGTTAAGATCATTTAAAATAATTTCACACTCTTTAAAACTTTCTTCACAGCCTTTCCTATGTTTTTCCAAAGTATATGTCATTAATATATTTAGATGCTGTCAACCCTTTTTCGCCGTCAGTTTCATGTATTGCTTACAAACATCTGATAAACTTTGGGCAGAACAGAATAAAAAGCAGAGCCAAGAAATCATTGAGTGATTGCCGTTATAAAGTTTGAAAAACGTTAGTGACAAGAAATAGACTTCTAATCCAGAGAAATAATTATGACTAAATTAATAATACTCCGACACTTGAAAAAATATAAAATTTATCAGCTGTGGTGACCGCGTTTGAAGTAGATGATTATTTTTAAAATCAAAAAGCAGGTAATCGAACTCAAGCATACACCTCAATATTTAAAAAGGTTTGAAGTATGAGTCTTTTTATCTTCACTAGATGAAAAATATTGTTACACTAAGAATAATACATTTTGCTTCAATATATAGAAAAATTAAAAATAATTATTGTTTATCGATAATGTATAATGGACAGTCTGCTGGAATTAATTTTATTGTGATTTCTTGTTGTTATAATGAGTTCAAATTTGAAACGTGGCCCCCTTGATAGTTTCTTTTCAGCCGGACAAAAAAAAAGTCCATTGGTCTTACCATACAACGAGGAAAATAATGATATCGAAGATAATGATGATCGCGTGGTTGGATGTGATCCAAACATTAATAACGGAAATACATAAAAGTTCTCCCATGTTATGGACTAATGAACAAGTAACTGAATTTCAGAAGAAAAATCCCTGAATAGATTGTAAAAATTGGAAATTAGGGTGTAGTACTTGCATACAGGTAAAAAATAGTATTCAGTTACAAGTAATCATACAAATCAGCTATTTTCTTTAAGAAGTAAAATTAAACAGCATTCGGAAAGTAAATCTCATTTATTAGCTGAGAACGTCTTAAAGAATGGCTCTGAACAGGTTTTGGATAGAATGTTTGAACATATGTCCGAAACTGTGATTAACAGTAATATGAGTTCACACTTATTTTATATATTTTATCAAACTTTGATTCAGAGTTTTCTATAATTGTAATATTTCTTGATTTAATAGAGCTGGATTGGCAAGACCTTGTAAATATTGAATAAGCCTTGTGGTTGAGTTTAGAAATAATTGGAATTTCTAAGTCTTTTGAATTGAAAAATTGGATTGCATTTGAAAGTGATGGAGCTAGTGTAATGACAGGCACGAAATCTGGAGTAGCTGCTAAACTTTGTCAGAAGATACCGCAACTATTTAGGTGGCATTATTTATGTCATCGCCTTGAACTTTCAGTACATGATGTCATAAAAGATGTGCAAGGTGTTTCTCGTTTTCAAAGTTTAATGGATAAACTATACTCTTGTTAAAATCAAAGTCCTCAAAATTCTAGGGCCTTAGACGAAGCTTGTTTGGAGGTTTTAATTGAAATGAAAAAAAATTGGTCGTATTTTAAACGTGAGTTGTTCTGCCTTTAGTTTTCGTACGATAAAAGCCATATGGGAAAACTATCTAGGGATACATAAGCACATAAGTGAGTCACAAACTCTTGAAACTGGACTAAAAAAAAAATTAGAATCTTCTTTCCTAGAGGAGCTTGGACTCTTTTATGACGTCCTGTTCGAACTCAGAATACTGCCTTGTATACTTTAATCAAGGAAAACAACATTAAAGCGCGTTCAATCAGAAATGTTTAGAACAATAAGAATTCTAGAAAGCCTGAAGACAGAACCTGGCGAAAAAGAAAAAGAAATCATAGAAGCTATACAAAAACGAATTCATAAAGGCATAAATATTACAGTTACAACGTCTGGAGGAATCAACAGATTGCAATTCTTGCAAAATGTCTATAGAATGCGTCAGCGCTTATTCAATGACCTTAAAAATACAACAGTATTACAAAATCTAAAGGTAAGGAATATTGAAAAATATAATCTAATTAATAATTATAACTGTACGCAAACATCTAAAATTGCATTTTTTTCATCCTGCAAGATATTGGAGAAGTATTTAAAATAGAAACCGATTATGATAGAGGAGAAGAAGAAGTTAAAAGAGTGTGTATCTGAATTTGAAAGTTTAGTAAACTTTCATTCAAAAAATGCGTCTTCTGATCTTATAAAAACACTAAACATACTTTCAAAAACTTCCAAATAATTTATGATATGAATCCCCCCATATTTGAACTTAGAATTTTTTTAGCGATTGAAAATGTATCAGATTTAATGTTACTTAACCTTACAATAAACCAAAACATATTATTATTTAGTTTTTGTTCTTACTGGACAGATGGCCCCTACATTCAGATTTCCTACTTTTCATTTGGATTTTCTTAAAATGATCTTACTTAAGAGTTAAGAACCTTCTCCCGACAATATGAATAACAAAAAGAACCGTTCACGCTTGATGGAGTGTCCAAGAGAAATTTATAATTATTATATGTTTAGTAATAAATAGATTGTTGATAAAATATACACACACAAAAAAGGTCAGGTTTCCGTGCCGTACCTTATTTCCTGTTATCGGCCGATTGCTATTGTAATTATTATATGAATTTAGTTATACAAATTACAAGTAAAAATTTATTTTTAACGATTTCAACCCTTTAAAATTTAAATTTTGAAAATTGGGTGACACCCGGGAAGGTATTAGAAACAACTTTGTGAAAAAAAAAATGGAAAAAAGTTTAATAGCGTCTTCACAAAATGGAAACATAAAAAAGGCCTTATATAACGATTACAATATTATTCCAAGTTTTTTTAAATATAGAATAAGATATTTTTGATAGCAATATGTAATATATCATAATATATTATTACTATGAAGTATATATTTTATTTTTATTCCAGCAACAACTTATGGTGTACTTTGTATAAATCAAAAAAATCCACAATAAATTGTAATAATTTATATAATATAATAATATCTGTCGATCAAGAATAATCTTATTAACTGTCTATTCTATTTAATTATTATTAGTTTGTATCGACACCACAAACGTCAACGCGACGGATTATGTAGGATAGGTACTAATATACATAAATATTAACTCATGATATTTGTAGTAAGTTGTTGGTGACGATAAAAACCAGTTATTCCGCACTGCGCTCCAACATAGTTACGGCGGCTGGAAAAAATATGAATTTAATATTTATTAGTATTGTTGGTTCTTATCGCCATCTACCGAGAGTTGTATTGTACACCGCCGAAAGCCGAGTGAGCTATCTATAGTATATATAGTTCCAGTTAAAAATGTATTATTTTATATTTTTTTTTTATTTTTATTTATTTTTATTTATTTTAATAAACGCCAAACGGCTTTTTACATATAGCAATAACGATATTACATAAATTAACGTAAGTGATAAGAATAATATACATAAATGATAATGTTAACAATATACTAAAAAATAAGAACAATAATAATTATAATAGGAAAATTACGCTCGTTAGGAGAATACAAAATTGAAGGCCATATATCAAAATTATTATTATTTAAATTGCGCATAGCTCTAACAATAGGACCATTAGATAAAAAGTTTGAACGGGAAGTTGGGATGTGAAAGGAATTGGTTGATCTGGTATTGGCGGTAGGAACTCTAAAGCTAATACGCTCAAGGAGACGCGGAGCATCAATTTTACCCTGGATTAATTTTAAAAGGAAGTTACGATCCGCAATTAGTCGCCTTTCCTCGAGGGAGAGGAGATTAAGCGCGCCCATGACAGGTTGGTATGAGTGTAGGGGGTGTTCAATTTTTAATAAGAAGCCTGCATAGTTTAAGAATCGAGTCTGGACTCGTTCAATAAGTTTTATTTCCGTTTTAAGATGAGGATTTAATTCTACGATTTAACTAGCTGATCCCGATCACTTCGTTGCCCGTAAAAAAAATTGTGATTGTTCAACTTCCTTTAATTGGGTACTTAAAACTTTCATGTGTAGAAAGTAAATATTTAGTTCCCCTGGTATAACATTTACAGCAAGTACACACAGGTCAGTACAGAAGAACAATTTTCTTTGAAAAAAGTAAGAACAAATAACGAGTACTTAAAACAATAAATTTATTGTATAAATATCATATTATATTATATTATATAGGTAAGAGATATATCAGAGAACAACAGACTGGTTTTAACAAATAATTCCTTTATTGTTTAAAATTTTAAATCATACATTCAAAGAATTATATACAACATAAATATTTATTCAAAAAATGTATTTTTGAAAATATACAATCATTATTTATTGTGCCAAAAATTAATATCAATGACAAAAAAAAATTACATTTCAAATATTTTAAACAATAATTCAAATTCTGGTGGGATTTTGGCATGTATTTGACCTACTGAAAATGGCGGATAATAACTTCACACCATATCACTAGTTAGGAGTCTAGTTTATTATCCATATCTGTGGTTCAATATAAAATTTATTTTGCGATGCGACTCATCCAATGATAAGTCAAACTTGTTTGCGCCGGAGATCCTAGAGAGCGGTTGTCGCCTGCCCCACGGTCCTCAGAACCTTTGTGGAGTAGAGAAAATATAAGTTCATGTATTATTATGCGACATGAACAAATACAAATAACAATCAACAAATACAATTTTTAGTACACGGGAGGACAGGGATCACCGATTGGCCACACAACCGCTGCTTCAAAGAAGCCTTTAAGCTGACGAACTATTTAACTGCCGTTGATCTATTACTGTAGTGGCGTGGTCACGAGCATGTGC